TAATAATATATTTTACTTTAATAATTTTTATAAATTACTTTTTAAATTTAATTAAACCACATAATTAATAAAGAATTTTTTAACATGTTTCTTGTTTTTCTCATTAATTTCTTTTTTTGTTCAAATTTAGTAGATGTAATTTTCTATTTAGTCTGTTCAAATTTAATTATTTATTATTTATTTTTAGAATATAATTTAATGTATTTATTCCAATTTTACCTTTGTTTTAAAAATGATAATTACAACAGATATTAAATAAAAAATCTTATTAAGTGGTATTTAATTAGAAATAAATAAGAAATTTTATCAATAAATTATTACATTTCTATTTTACTAAACAAGAAAACTAAATCTACAAAAAATGAACAAAAGGAAGTATTATGAAAATTTTTTTCTAACCTCTACTTTTAGGGCACATATTAAAGGTATAATAAATACATTTTTTCACTATAAATTTATATTGCAAGAATAAATGTTAACTTTTAATTTATTAACTATTTAATTAAATTTATTAACATGACAATGACATTAAAGTTAATATTAGTATTATATTTTTCAATATAAATTAATAACAAAAATGTGTCCTTTATAATTAGGATACAAATCAAGATGTCATGGTACTTTAAATGTTAAAATTCATTGTAAAATTATTTAAATATCCTTAATAAATATTTTTTTGTGTTGATTTATTAAAGGTAGTTTAGTATTTTCATTTTCATTTTTAGCATTTTAATTGTCTTTTAAACAATTTTGAAATGAAATGAAAATACTAGAAATGATAATGAAAAGATTAAAATGCCTTTAGTAAATCAATAAATTAAAAAAAGTTTATTAAAAGTATTTAAATAATTTTATAGGAAGTTTTAATATTTAAAATACCAAGATATTTTGATTTTTGCTCTTAAGTACACCTTTTTGTCATTAATTTATATAAAAAAATGTAAAAGTTAATATTAATTTTATTATCATTGTTACGTTGATGAATTTAATTAGATAACTGAGAAATTAAATATCAACATTTATTTTTCTAATATAAATTTATGACAAAAATTATATTTATTATAATTTTAACATGTACTCTAAAAATTGAAATTAGAAATTTTTTTTCATAATAATTAATGCGAAAGATAAAAAATATGTCAAAAAATTCTTTATTAATTAGGTGGTTTAATTAAATTTAAAAGGTAATTTATAAAAATTATTAAAGTAAAATATATTATTATTTTATTGAAAAATACTTAAAGATATGTATATTATATAATATTAATTAATTAATTTAAAAAGTTTATTAATTAAAAAATATATTATTACTAGAACCAAACGAAATAAAGACAGGAGAAAAAAAAAAAAACTTGGAAAGGTATGCAAGTGCAATGCCACGTAACCAATGACAAGCGGCGTCACGAAGTCAGTTAGCGGAGGGACCGATTCACACCAAATGTGAGGTTGGAGGGTTTATTTGTCATCTTTTTAGTTCAGGGGCTTGTCACATGCTATTGAAAAAGTTGAGGGGCTTAAGAAGGGTTTTTGCCTTCTGTCTCCTTTCATGACCCGAACTAAGAGAAGCATCACTTTCGTTTTTGGCGTTGTGGCCAAGGAAAGAATCACTTTGGTTTAGAAAAGAATCACTTTATTTAAAGGGAGATTTTTAACGAACGAAAGTAAAAACAATTGAAAGCCATGCGTTTGATAGGAGGAATTTGGGAATTGAAGATGACTATTACTTTTTTATAGTTTATTATATATATAAAAAAAAAAGACAAAAAAAAGTACTTGGACCTCACAGTCCAATAATCATAAGTCAACTTATAAAGTGTATTTCTTTGACCTCAAATCTCCCCACCCCAATTTATAACCCTGTTGAAAAAAAAAAAAGCAAAGAAAATGGGCTTGTTTTATATGAGCATTTTACTCTCCTCTCAGTTATTTTATGTTGAACCCAGATATTCACCCACGGACGGATTAACCCATTAACGAAATTTGTTTTTTGTTTGCCCGTGCCCCTTAACCTGTTCATAACTATAGTTCTTCTCTTTTTACCCCCCAAAAAAAAAAAAAAACACTAGCTTGTTTCTCATTTTCTTTGTCCTTTTAAAAGGGTTCCTTTTTGGGTAAATTTTTATATCCCAATTTAATTGGAATTTAATTAAATAATTAGTAACTTACAATTTGAAAGACAATTATGTACAGATATTATATCATATTATGTTACATTACATTCCATTTGCCCCATATGTAATTTAATTTTTAGATTATCAATATAGTAATAGAAGATATATAACTTAAAATTAATTAATAAATATAATTGAAGTCTTATAAAATCTATATGTATATATAATTGCAGTAACTACAACGTATCATATTTTAAGTCCACCTTTTTTTTCCTGTTTAACTGGTGTGGGATTTTCTCACTAACAATTCGAGCATCAAATTCAATCAGTCGGAGGATCAGGTACATAATCATCTAGCTTCCAGGAACCATCTTCTTGCTGAACCATACCCTTATTTTTCTCTGTCCACCATTCAACTGGGACGTAATATTCATCCTTCAAAGCACCCAAGGATTTGTTCATTAGTGAAATATCACGATCAACTTGTAGCTCGAATTCTCCACTGGCCTCATTTGCACCAGCAACTCCATGCAGATATATCTCCAATTGATGAGCAAGCATCAAATTTGTGTTCAAATCTGGGTAAATTTTTCGATACTTAGATTTGTCACTTTCAATTTCCAGTTCTTCTCCAACATGGGTGTAAGCTAGTTGCAGCAACGAAGGAACAACATCTAATTCATTGTTGACACGTAAAACACGAAGATTTTTGAGTTTGGAGAATACATTCTTCAAGCCTGAATCTCCAACATGGGGGCTGGCAAATACAATTGCAGTCACTAAACATGCCTTTTCGGGTTCGGTTATTGGGATGTTATAACCATTGGCAGCGATGTCCATGGCACTAAGGGTAGCAATCGCTGCTCCCAGGCTGTGTCCGGTTATCGTTACGCTTATTTCCTCATCCTTGTATAACTCCACCAATCTCCTAACCTCACCAAGAACCTAAGCAAGATAGAGGCATGTAATAATTGAAATGCCAATATATGTACATATAGATATGGTTAAGCGGATGAGGGATGAAATTGAGCGTATACAATTACCTGGTCTCTTGCACTGGTTTTGTTGAAGGTAGACTGCAAGTCCTTAGATGTGTAGATTGAGTGCCACCCATGGTGCACCTTAGGATCTCCATTTTCTCCAAGAATATCAGCTGCCGAGACTAAATCTGCCTGAATATCCTTAATCACTTCGATATTTCTCTTAGTTCCTCTCCAAGCAATCAAAATGTCCCTCCTCCCCAACACAGCCTTTCCTTCATCCGTAGCCACTGCAACATACCCCATCCAATTGGACTGCCCAACGGAAAACCAATCAAGGACTTGAATCTCCGACCTTGCATAAAAAAATTTTGTCACTTCGTACTTGTATGGATTGCCCTTCTCTAAACCAACCCTCGAGAAGAAACCATCCATCGGATACCTGCTGAATCCAATCCATTTAGATGCTGTTTCTTTATTGAAGGCATCTAAAACAGCTTGTGCTCTTTCACCATAGTGAATAATATACTTGCGGAGATCAACATGCAAAGGGTCTAACAAATCTTGCCAATTTTTCTCGCCACTTAGTTCTCTCCATCTGTTTGCTATGCCACTGCCACCCATCATTCTGCCTCTTCCCTTCTTGAAAAAATCTGGGGCTTCTTTATATGATAGTGCAAAGTATATACGTATATACAGATAGAGCTTTCCTCCCCCTTGTTCTAATGCTCTTTTTGGTTTATTTTTTATGGCTTTTTTTTTTTTTTTTTT